GGGGGAGGGGCGACGGACAACGCCGTGGAAGAAGACCGAGCGGGAGGGACAGAGAAAAGGAGAAGGGAGGAGAAGAGAGGAGAGAGAACGAGGAGGGAGGAGAAAGGTGCGCCCCTCGACGGGGCACTCGCGAGGAAAGGAGAACGGAGGGAGGAGGGAGGACGAGAGCTTACTGTAAGCGGCGTTCAAGGCAAGGACGAACGAAGAACAGGCTGGACCACGAGGAGCAAGAGAGTCGAAGCAACGAGATGGAAGATCAAGGTAAGTGGAGCTCCCTTCCTCTGTGAAATTACCCGTCGTTTTACGGTCGTTCGATTATTATTATTATTATTATTATTATTATTATTGTATTATTATTATTATTATTATTATTATTACTATGATGATGATGACTAGGGGGAAGAAAAGGCGGGCGCGTTGGGAAAGAGGGAGGGGGAGGAGGAGGAGAAGGCAGGAACAGATGATGATGAGATCGAAACGGGAGGGCAAGAAGACCTTGATCGGGCTAACGGGAGGGCAAGAAGACCTTGATCGGGCTAAGTCCCGCCGCCAGAGAAGATTGTGCATCAAACGCCTAAATCTGGCTGTGCTTTAAGCAGAGGTGCAGAAAGGTAGATCAATCGCGATTTTCTGAACGTTTCCACAAACACGTCCACATTCGGGCGTTAAATCCCATCCGTCCTTCGCTACCGGGACCTCATCCCCGGACCTCATCCCCGACAACAACGAATCCGACCAGCACCTACGTTCAAAGACACACATACACAGAGAGAGAGAGCTGTCTCTTATACACATCTAGATGTGTATAAGAGACAGCTGTGTCTCCTAAGACTTTATATAGAGGGGACCCCTGCAAGCATAGGGCCTCGCAAACAAGGTAATTCATGTTGCCCCCCGCCCCAACAGCGGTAGTCAGAGATGGTGTGGGGCCGCTCGTGGGGGTCCGGCTAACGCAAAGACCGAACATTTTGCCAGCAGCCGCGCCTCCCTTTCTCATCCTCCCCCACCCCTCATCGAGTAGCAGCAGAGGCTATGGCCAACTCTCTGCCACGCACGGGGAGCCCGTAGCGGCCAGAACGGGGCTTTAAGGTGTCTTCTCCTCATTGGGGACAACTATATATGACCATATATATATATATGTATATGCATATGTATATAACTAGGCTACCAAAGTGGCCCGGGTCCACTTGCCCAACCGGGCCAAAAAGAAATAAAAAAATAAAAAAGTAAAAAAGATTTTTTAATTAAAATTTGTATTTTAAATTTGGTAAAGAATTTTGGATAACATTAAAAAAAAGGGGAAATTTTTGAAATGCCCCTGAAGTTTGCATTAATTTGCAATTTGCCCCTCCGAAGCCCGACTTACCCTGATTTGCCCCTGGGCCTCTGAACTTTCAAACAGGCTCCTGTCAGTGAGGGGCACAACTTTTTGGAATGCCCCTACCGGACCGGCGGTCCTATTTCCCCTGCTGCCTGTCCGATTTGCCCTTCTGTGGGGGA